TTGTCCCTCAGCTTGTCCTGCAGTTCCTCCACTCAGACACCCACCTGGGCCCAGGCTAGTGGCCTGGTGGGTCTGGGAATGAGCTCCGGATCTCATTCATTATTATCCAACAAATATTTATTAACCCCAACTGTGTGCTGGGCACTGGGAATCCAGCAGCCACAGAAACAGACAAAGTCCTGCTCTCATGAAACTTAATGACCTTATGAATACACAAAGCTCACATCTTCACACTCTAACAGTGTGCCAGGCCTGCATTCAGCAATTACATGTGTTAACTCATTTAATCACTGTAATAATCCTATTACTGCTCCCATTTTACAAATGAGGAAATACAGACACAGAGAGGTTGTTACTTGCCCTAAACAACACAGCCTGTAAATACAGCTAGGCTTGAACCCAGAGAATCTGGCTCCAGGGTCCATATTATCTATAACTGTATTATATAGCCTCTAATAAATGATAAATACCATTTCAGGTAGTGATGAGAGCCACAGAGAAACAAAACAGTGGATGGGGGCTTCCGGGAGCCAGGGCAGTTGAAGGTACATCCTGAAGTGTTGGCGTTTGAGTTGAGTCCTACTAACAATGAAGAGCCTGCAATGTGGCGATCAGAGGGAAAAGCATGTGCAAAGGTCCAGAGGGCAGGGCAGGACGTGGCTTGTGGAAGAACAGAAGAGAAGGAGGCCACAGGGGCTGGAGCCGAGTGAGGGAGGGCTCTGCGCCAGGACAGGAGCATGCCCAGAGCTCAGTGGCTTTCCACAGGGGACATGTGTTTCTTGCCTGTGGGCATTCCTGGTCAGCAGGTGGCTCTTCTGCAGGTGGCTGTTCGGGGACCCAGGGCCCGCCCTTCCCTGGCTCCGCAGCTCACAGCCACAGCCCCTAGGTGGCTGTGCTGGGCCCGTGTAAGGCGGGAAGTGGGGAGGTGTTGGTAGGCCAGGGAGCTGAGCACATCACTTCTACTCCATGGCCCAGAATCCAGTCACATGGCCCAGAGGAAGCGGAGCAGGTGTGGTGGGAAGCCTGCCAGACTCAGCCACATGAATGGCTGGTGGCTGTTTAGACAGACAAGAGGTCGGATCTGGGTGTCGTGTGAGGTCCAGTCAGCGGGACCTGCTGCTGGTGGTGCAGAGGAAGGTAAGACCCGTGACGGGTGCTGGGACCGCACAGGTGTTGAGAAGGGTGGGACGCCGAGGCTGGAGGGGTCCACACGACACAGCTGCTGTGTGCCTGCAAGTCAGCAGTGCCAGGGTGCTCTCCTGCTGGTGTGATGTCTTCACACTGGTCCTGCGGTCAAGTTTTGGGAAATTATTCCCTCCCTGAGTCCATGTTCTTTGCTATGTGACTGGGCGGGTCCTCCCGGTGAGAGGTGGCCCCGGGTTCCCTATGCCTTGAACCTGGACTGGCCCTGTGACTGGCTTGGGCCGGTAGGGCCTGGCAGAACTAAGGCAGCACCACTTCTGAGCCTGGGCCTCAAGAAGCCTTGCAGCAGCTGCTCCCACGTTTTGAATCCTCCCCCTGAAATGGCAGCCAGCTTGGGCCAGCCTGCTGAAGGATGAGGCCACGTGGAAGAGGCTCCGTCCTCCCAGCTGAAGCCGTCCTAGCCCGGCCTATAGGAGCCAACCCCCAATATGGGAGGGGGTTCTGCTAAGAGCAGCAGGGCCACGGCTGACCACACGTGCAGAGGGCGTGCGGCCGTGTACTCAGGAGCAGTGATAAGTGCTTATTGTTTGAAGCCACTGAGATTTGTGTTGGTTTGCTACTCAGCAATAGCTGGCCGATATACTTCCCCAAGCAGGAAAAGACACCTGGTCATTGAGCCTGGGACATGAGTTCCAGTCCTGTGCCTGTCAGTGACTTGTCCTGTGGGTGGGTCCCGTCACCTCCCTGCCTTCTGGCTGGCTCTGGAACACAGTCAGGGAGGAGCCCAGGAAGAGAGCACAGGCAAGAGCTGTGCGTGGCAGCCTCCCTGCAGCAGCGCAGAAAGGCTCTTCAGAGGACAGGAGTTTGTCAGGGGGGAACAAAGGTGAGTGGTCTAGGCAGAGGAGACAGCAAAGAGCAGACGCACAGGGAAATGTGGGGACTGCAGTACTTCCATGACAGAGACAGATGGAGTGTGGTGGTGACAGAGAGGGTATGAAAACTGCTGGGACTTTGTCTAGCAGAGTTCTTACTTCATAAATGGCATATTGCTGCTGCTGTGCATGAGGCTGCTGGCATGGCAGGCACCAGGTCGCAAGGGGATGAGGAGCTTGGACTTAACCTGCAGGACAATGGGGAGCCATGGCCGGTGTAGGCAGTGGGGGGGTCGGTCTGGTTAGAGCTTGGAGGCTGGCTCGACGGGGCACCAGTGGAAGCAGGAGACCCAGAGGAGGCCATGGCCTTCTTCTCAGGTGAGAGATGATGATGGCCAGAGCGGTGATGCGGGTGGGTGGCAGTGAGGAAACCCCGGGAAAGAATGGCCAGAGCTTGGTGGCTGTTGGACGCACCCAGCAGGAGGGAGGGAGGAGCTGGCGAAGACAGGCTGTGTCTTCTGGCTTGGATCACCTGCAATGTCCACATCCTTTCTCTGCATCTTCCTTTAGCCTCCATTTGAGGTGGCAGAAGCCTCAGGACCAAGCGCGGAGGTGGGGCAGCCTGGACGACAGCCCTTGCTCCCTCACTTCCAGGTGGCAGGACCTTGAAGGGGTCACTTCTCTCTACTGAGACTGGTCCTCATCCATAAAGCGCAGACAAGAGGAAACATGCTGCGGACTCGCCTTGAGGTGTGCAGGGCACGGCTCCGCCGCGGCAGGGCGGACACCCCCCTGGGACTCTCCTGCCCCAGGTCTTGCTGAGGGGTCCCCTTGGCCAGCTGCCAGGGCACCCCTGCAAAGTGGTTCAGGCACCAGCTCATCCCTGCCGGGCCTTTGGGAAAGGCCTGATCCTGCTCCGTGGAGCCTTGGGCTACTTTTAACCACTTGGGGACCAGCGTCGACTGTAGTCGGCAGCCACAGAGGGACGCGCACAGCGACTGTAGCCGACAGCCGTGATCTGACTTTTCTAATTTTTCGTTTATCAAAATAAAATTGTGAACATTTAAAAATAACGGAATGAAAACACATATGTATATGTTACCTATTCTGACTTACATGACAAGTAGAGCTGCCTGTAAAGTCAAACAAGCTTCCAGTGCTTTGAAGCTTTCCTCATCACACAAGAGCAAAACGGACCGTCGTCAACGCACAGCGCAGACCACCATGCAACTGTGAGTGCCGGCTGTGGGCGAGGTTTCGCGCTGGTGAGCGCTGGACCGAAGTGGTTAAACTCACGTCCAGAGACAGAGACAGAGAGAGAGAGAGAGAGAGAGAGAGAGAGAGAGAAGGAACTCCAGGCTCCCAACCCCTGCCCCGATTATCCTGCTGCCTCAGTTGGTGCACTGTCTTGGTGAAGGGCCATCCCAGGAGGCACAAGTCCTGGGTCTGATCTTGCCTCTGCTGGACTTACCGTGTGGCCTTGAGTAAAGTCCTGCCTCTGTCTGGGCCTCAGTTTCTCCATTTCTAAAATAAGAGATTTGCAGCTTGAAGAAACAAAGGTGATAGAGCACCTCTTGTATATTCCTGGATACAGCTGGAACCCATTCTACTAAGTGAAGTATCTCAAGAATGGAAAGACAAGCACCACATGTACTCACCAGCAAATTGGTGTCAACACCTAAGTGGACATACAGGAATAACATTTATCGGGTGTAGGGCAGGTGGGAGTGGGGAGGAGGGAACGGGTATATACAAACCCAACAAGTAAGATGTGTGAAGTTTGGGGGATGGACATGCTTGAAGCTCTGACTCGTGGGGGGAGGGGTGTCATGGGCAATGTACGTAACTTCTACCACCATAATATGCTAAAATAAAATAAATAAATAAAATAAGAGATTTGGTCCAAGTCAGAGACTGCACCCCAGTGGCCCAAAGGCCAAGTTCAGCCTACAGTTCTGTCTTGCTTCATCCTCATGGTGTTCGTTAACATACTGAAAAAGTGGGAGATTTTACTTAAAAACCTGCATGTTCAGCCTTTCTTGGAGCATCAGAGGATGTGGCCACAGGGAGGCCATGTCCCGTGTGGCAGAGACGGCCTTGCGCCCAGCAGCCCGCTCTCTGAATCTGTTCCTGCCCAGACCCTGCACTCCTGGGCTTTCTGATTTTTTGACTCAGCCTCTTCAGATTTGGCCTTTTTAATGTCCGTTTTGTTGAAAAACCACTCTAGGAATAGACCAAAGTGGGGGGAAAGTGGGGAAATTCATTTGCCTAACACAGAATGAAATATTTATTTCCATAAGCTGTGCTTGAAGAACTCAATAATTATGGAGAGAACAATAATAATGGTAATAATAATAGTCAATAATAATAATAGTCAATGCTATTTAGCATTTCCGTTGCTTTGCAGTGCAGAGTGCCATACAGTCACGCCGGGAGGACACTCACAACAGCCCTGTGAGGTCGGTACTATCTTGGTTTCACAAGGACAGAAAACTGAGACCAGAGCACAGCTGAGCAGGGCACCCAGGTGGAGTGTGCTGCAGACCAGGTGACAGGCTGGCAGGTGACTGGGATGGTGGTTCTCACAGGCCCAGCTGCCCTCTCCTCACCTGGACAGGCAGGGAGGACAGGGGGGTGACCTTTCTGAGATCATGTTTATGTAATGACATTAAGCAGTCATCGGAAAGGCTGGTTAGAACCTCCCCCATCCCCAGGTACCAATGAGGCGAGAAACAGAGGGGCTGCAGGCTTGGGAAGCCACCCTGCTCATGGGAGACACTGTAGGTTTCCCAAGGCAGAAACAAAATGTGACCTGGGACTTCCAAGGAACTCCTTACCTACCCACCCATCCATCTACCCACCCACTGTCCTATCCAGTCATCTACCCATCCACTCACCCACCTATCTATTTATCCATCCCTCTAACTCTCCCATCCATCTGTTCATCCATCCATCCACCCACCCACCCACCCACCATCTTATCTGTTCCTGCACTCATCTGCCGGGCTGCCTATCTATCCCCCCTCCAGCCACCCACCCACTCATCCATCCACACATCCACCCGTTCATCCATGTATCTACTCACCCATCCTCCATCCCTCCATCCATCCACTCCAGTGCTCTTTCTCATGCTCACTCATCCAGACACCCAAGTAAAGGTTTTTGGTTTAATTAAACCAAAAAAAGGTCCAAGGAAAGAAACCGACCAACCAACCAACCATCAGCCTCGTTTGTTTGCCTGTGTTGTGATGCAGGCTCAGGGCTGACATCAGGGAGTCAGACTCATCCTAGATGCTGAGGGCTCCCAGCACGTGAGGCTGTGGGGCTGTGGTCTTAGAGGTATCTGAGTTTCACCGGTGACTGTGGGGACAGGGTTCAGAGGTGGCATTTTCTGGTGGCTCCACACAATCACACAAGGCCTCTGCTGTCTGCCTTACACCATAAGCCTTCACATGCACAAAGAGACACCCTGGGGACCAGCAGGTACATAGGCGCACAGCTGCAGGCACAGGCCCTAATCTCCCAGGCACATTGAGAGAGACACACAGGTACCCGGGCACACACAGGAGCACACCAGAGGACTTCAAGGCGTAGTTACATGACTACTCCAGGAATCCTCAAGGTCACACACACACGGAAATGCAGGTAGACATAGATTAGAACTCACGGCCTGCTGGAGGAGAGCTTTCCAGGCTGAGAGGCATTGGGTATAGCTGGACCCAAAGCCAACAGGCCTTGCTCAAATCTCTCTGCCACTCTGCCCTGGCAGCAAGACATCCAGGAAGCCCCACAAGCCTGGCTGCTAACTGGCTCCTCACCCCACCTGCTTTTCTGCCCTTACATGAGGACAGCACCTCACTTCCTGGGACACACAAGCAATGGCTAGGGGTCCTGGTGGGGCACAGGGCTCCCTGAGCTGGCCTCTGCCAGGTGATGACAGCCAAGTCCCTGTGATGGACACAAAGCCCACTTGCCACAGTGGCTCATTTTGAGGCCACCACTCAGTGACCCTGCTCAAAAGGCCTGAGCTTAACAGGTTAAGGCTGGGGATTTTATTTTTTCCCAGCTAATCCCGATGAGATGACACCTCAGCCCCAGGCACCTGGGGCAGCTTGTGTCCACTTGGCAAACTGAACTGGAGAACCCAGCTGTGTGAGGATCTTCGTGGGGCCAGACCCCATGCCCAGGCCCTCGCCCTCCTTACCCCAAAGTGAGTACCAGCATTAAGAAGCAGCACAGGCCATGGAATGATACAGGAAGACATGATATAAATTAGAGTTGCATATGAAAATAGTCTTCTACAAAATATTCTCTTATCCAGTGGCTCACTTTCCAAAAGATGGAAACTGCTGGGAGTTTATTATTATCTTTCCTCTCTATGTATTCCAAACTAGATTTCTCTAATGGTGAAGTTTGAACTGAGGAGGGCAAGAGGGTGGGAAACATACTGTGGAAAAAACGTCTACAAATTGGAACAAAGTTAAATTTCTGGATAAGTAGCAGCAAACAGCAAAAAAATATAAATGTGTATATATATGTATGTATAAAGAATATCTGCTCTTGTACTTAAACATCTAGTGCTGCAAAGGGGGGCAGTGTTCAACTAATAGAAATATCTGCATAAATAATCATTATGTACAGTTCTGCTCGGCTCCGTATCCTAGCGACAAAGGCATCCCACTAGGAAAGCAAGCAGTCCACTTTGATTGCAGAAAATGGATCCTGAGGAGGTGGAAGAATTATTTTTAATTAAATAAATTAATATTATTTGTTATCAGAATAAATTGTTAAATATTGCTAAGATGAGGCCCCAGAGTGCAGAGTTCCTGCTGAAAGGCTCCGCTCTGGCCGCGGAGGGGCCTGGACAGTGTTTGGGGAGGGCGGAGCAGCATTGGGCGTGGAACAGAATGGTCGAGGGATTTTTCCCGCAGATTTCTCCTGCTCTGAGAGATTTTTCCCGCAGTTGCCTGCAGGAAACCCCGGGAAAAGTGCCCTCCTCAGCAGAAAAGACAAGCTCAACGTTCCAGTGGTTCCCTGTGAAGATCCAGGCAGTGACCTGCCAGGGACTCGCAGCTTGGAAACTGTCCAGTCCTCCCGGCAGTCTGACCTGCAGCTGGAGGGCGGCGTGCGTGCAGTCTCGGGCTCATTTGCACGTGTACATCTCGGTGCGCTCGCTGCAGGTGTTGCACTTGACGTAGCAGCACCAGTGGAACTTACAGTTGCACTGCCACACACGGGCATACTGGTGGGTGTTGTAGCCACGGCCACAGCACATGAGGTCACAGCCGCTGGCCTGGGGGGCCGTCTTGTTGCAGGCACGGCCTTGTGTGCCCACACTGCCCGTCACTGGGTCCTCCTCGCAGTAGTTGGGTGACTTTTCGATGTATACCAGGTCCGTGTCCATGGGCTTGCGGTAAGACAGTGGCTTCTTGATCTTCAGGAAGGTGGGCCGCTTGTTGCGGCTGGCGCGCACGGGCTCCACATGAACAGCCTCGTTGTACTTGTCCTTGAGCACATAGCCCAGCTCCCGAAACTGCGGCAGTGTAGTCCAGCACGTCTTGGTGGTGCATGAGCCTGACACGCCGTGGCACTTACATTCCAGCTTCATGTTCTCCTCCAGGATCTGCAGGGGCGAGCAGGGAAGAGCACAGCACAGGTCACTAGATGGGACAGCCAAGTACCACCCCAGCCTGGCCCAGCCCCTACCCCACCTAGCTGGGTCTGGCTTTCGTTTTTCTTTTTGGGGCAGGAAGCTCAGACTTGGATTCCAATCCCTCTCTCCTCTGGCCTTTGGGCCGTGCCTGTCCCCTGGAACTCACTTGCCCTCCTTGCTTCTCAACTCCCCTGTGGTCCCTAAGTTGGCACTGTGAGCAGTCCCACCCAGTCCAGACTACATACAGGCTCTCTTTGGCCTACATAGGCTTAAAATCAATTTTAAACCAATATTTAAAAACCAGGAAAGTTCACTTTAGAACACAGACTTTCATGTTTTCTTGGCAAACAAGGGGCATCTGGTGACACTGGGATGAAATTCAAAATGTTTAGTAGCTGACACCGTTGGGTGCTGACCCACAGAGGCGGGCGGTGTGCACATCTCGTTGTGTCCTCGCTCACTGCACTGCCACATGGCAACAACGCCTGGTGCTACGCTCGCCGCTGCCTACTTCACAGGTTGACATCCCCATCGCCTCAGTCCTCACTGCTCGCCATTGCCTCCCTGATCGAGTTGTGGTTTCTCAGAGGTCATTTACGATACCTGCCATGCCCTTGTGGGCATCTGAGTCTGAGAACCCTGCCTCTGAGTGCCTCTTCCCTGGCAGCTTTCCCCAACTCCCCAGGCTGGACGGTGGACCCCACATCCAAGCTCCCAACACCTGCTGGGTTTCCGTCATCCTAGCCCGAGAGGAAGCACTGTACAGTAGGTAAAAAACTGGGTTCCCTGATTCTGGACCCAGGATTTAAATCCTGGATCTACCATGAACCTGCTGTGTATCCTTGGCCAATCTGCTTCAGTCCTCTGTGCTTCAGTCTCTCACATGCAGAGTGGGGAAAATAATAGCACCTCATTACAATCATGCAATCGCAAGAATGAGCGACTAACACACACACACACACACGCAGAAGAATGGATCTGTAAGAGGTGATGTTGACTGAAAGAAGTTGGACACTAAAGAGAATATACTTTATGATTCCATTCGTATGAATTTCAAGAATTGACAAAACTAGTGTATGTTTTTCATTTAAACTTTATTTACATATGCAGACAGTGGACCAGAGTTGACCCTTGAGCCACATTTTGCTGTTTCAGAATATCTCAGCAATAAAAGGAGGCAACATTTTACCGAACTCCTCATAGCACAGGATATTTAGGTTGTTTTCAGGGTGCTTTTTAAAAAAAAAATAATGTTTTTGTCCTGTCTTTTTCTCTCCCTCTCTTCTTCCTCTCTCCCTTTCTTTCTATTTTCAACTATAAGTAACATGGAAGAAAATATCTTTGGGGCTAAAGCTTCTTTTTCTTCCTCCTCCCTTCAGCCTGATGTCACCCTAGCAGACATTGATTGAACTCCGACTGTGTTCCAGGCATGGGGGTGGGGATATACTGGTAAGCACAGTTGCTGGGTCGAAGTGTGTGGACATGTAGACAGTCCTTCACTCAGACTGTCAAATTGCTTTTGCCTGTCATATTGTGAAAGAATACATGAATGAATGAGTAAATGGGCATTTATTAACCTCCTGTGCCCACACTGGGCCCATGCTTTTATATATGGCATCTCACTTAACACCATGAAGTTGGTATGATTATGATTCCATTTTACAGAAAAACTTAACTAAGTCTTGGAGCTGGTCTGTGAGACATTCTGAGGCAAGGGGCTTAGAGCTGGGGGTGTGAATTAAGCACTTGCTGGCTACTTACTTGCTATGTGACCTTGGGGATGTCACACTCCCTCTCTGGGCCTCAGTTTCCTTAACTCTAACATAAAATGAAGAAAATCCCATCTTTTCTGACAAAAGTCAGGGTGCTGGAACAGAATCAGACATTAAAAAAACTATCATTAGTTTTGCCTCTGGCCCTGAGCCTGTTTGGGGTGCTGGGGATGCAGAGGTGACATGATAAGATCTCTGACTCCAAGGGATACATTCGTGTTCCCTCCTACCCCTAAGAGCTCTGCTTGCAGGAGAGGTGACCGGGGCTTGGTTAACAGAACCACCAGGAAGGGAGGGCCGCCACATCTCAACCTCAGTATCTGCAATCAGATGAACCAGTGACACCACAAGCATCCAGATGTCCCAGGACAGGACTGGCCGGCTTCCAGGACACCTGGTGTCACAGAGCACCTCCTGCATGCTGACACTCTCACATGACCCCTACACATGCAGCCCTTGCAGATGGTGTGTCCCCAAAATAACACAGATATCCCTTTTGGGTTTTGGTGAGGGGATAGTTCCCGCACGTCCAGACCACCTTTCTGACGTGGCCCAAGAATTGGGAGAAAAAACAAAGCCTTGGCAGTGTGACTGTGCACATTGCAGGCAGGGTTAGGCAGGCACATCTGAGGAACTAGGGCTTGGTTGATTGAGATTCTATCGTAGCCAGAGACTTCAACACAGAGATGCCCGGGGACATCAGAAAGGGACGCTGACAGTATCGAGTGCTGGCTGGTATGCGGAGCACCTGGAATGCTCGCACACTGCTGGGGTGTGCAGACAGTGCAGATACGTTGGAAACACATTTTTCACTATCTGATAAAGCTGAAGATACACATATCTATGACTCACATTTCACTGCCAAGATATATGCCCCAGAGAATTGTATTATATGTGCACAGGAAACAGATTCAAGAATGTTCACAGCAGCAATGTTCATAATAGCCTTGAATTGGGCGCCATCCAGATGACCATCCATGGTGAATGGATAAAAGACGGTATGTGCATTCAATGGAGCACAATAGGGCTGTGACAATGAATAGTTGCAAGCCACACTAACAGGGACTGACCTCAGAAATGCAGCGTGGAGGGAAAGAAACAAGTCATTAATGGTTTCCACAGAATGATTTCATTTGTATCAAGTCCAAAAGCAGGCAAAACTGGATTGCGTTATTTAGAAATGCATCCACAGGGAGACAGTATAATAAAAGGAAAGAAATGAGGGTCCCAAATATCAAGATAGCATTATCCCCAGTGGGGCTGGGGGAGTGTGGTTGGCCAGGGTCACCCAGCAGTCTTTTGGGGTGGTGGCAGTATTCTGTTCCTTGATATGGGTAATGGTTACATGGATCAGGTTTTGTAATTATTCTTTCAAATGAACATGGATATTCTATGTACTTTTTGCACATAAGCAATATATCACAATTATAAAAATGCAATGGGTACAATGGCCAATAAACATATGAAAAGATGCTCAGCATCATTAGTCATCAGGGAAACACAAGTCAAAACCACAATGAGCTACTGCTTCACACTCACTAGGATGGCTAAAATAAGAAATATAGACAATAACAAGTGTTGACAAGAGTGTGAAGAAATAGGATCTCTTATACACTGCTGGTGGGAATATGAAATGGTGCAGCCACTTGGCAAAACAGGCTGGCAGTTCCTCAATGTGTTATACATAGAGCTATCATATGGCCCAACAATCCTATTCTTAGATATATGCCCAACAGAAATGAAAACATATGACCACAAAAAATCTTGTATATGAATGTTGATAGCGGTATTACTCATAATAGCTAACAAGTGGGAAAAAACACTAATGTCCATCAATGGATTAATGGATTAAAAACATGGTATACTCATAACAGTGGAACATTATCCAGCCATAAAAAGGAATGAAGTACTGACAGAGATCACAACAGGGATGAACCTTGAAAACATTATGCCAAGTGAAAGAAGCTAGTCACAAAAGGCCACTTATTGTATGATTCTGTTTCTATGCAATATCTGGAATAGGCAGATCTGGAAAGACACATAGGAGATTGGTGGTTGCCTAGGGCAGAGAATAGGGGAAATGGGGAGTGAATGCTAAAGGGTATTATATAGGTTTCTTTTTTGAGGTGATGAAAATATAAAATTGATTGTGGTGATGGTTGCACTTATCTGCAAATACATTAAAAGCTATGAAATTGCATACTTTAAATGGCTACATTGCATGGCATGTAAATTATACCTCAATAAAGTTGTTTTATTAAGAAAGGCAATGGGAAATTCCTGGAAGGTCTCGGTGAGGAGGCAATGTGAATGCTAGTATGCATTTCCCACTCCATGACACTGAATGCTGTCACTGCGGGGACTGGCTCCTGGGTCTTGGGTAGGGGTCGCTGCTCCTCCTGCCCATGCAGCCCCCTCCAACACATTTGGGATCCTTCATCCTCTGTGGTCACTGGTGGCCTGAGGCCATGATGGTAGTGAGTGGGCCCCTAAGCAGGTGACATCTAGCCCACTAAGCCCGCAAACTCTGCATTTTGAGAGCCTCAGTGATCGCATTATGTCTGCACTAATCCTGGCATAATCACAGCTGCCCTGGCCAGGGCTGGTCACCCATATGGGCACCCAGCCCTCTCCCCGAGGCAGGGGACTACAACAGAGGAAGCATGTGAGGGACAGAGCTGCATTCTTCGTATTCCCCACCCCCACCCTTTGCAGTCAGGTTGGCTACCAGCTTCCTAGCAGCCAAGGGGGGTTCCAAGCTCTGGATTTTGCACTTCAGTGTCAGGCCATCTGAGGCCTTATGGGCTCTAGGATGACACAACTCTACACAGCTGCCCAGTGCCTGGCACACAGCAGGTGCTCAGGAAATGCCCAAAGGCAATTCACAGACAGGATGCGTCCAGACTGCTCCGCAATAGGTATGCCCCAGGCCCAAGCAATTGGTGGCTGAATGTTCAGGGTCGCAGAGGCCCTGTCAGGCCAGCCAGGCATCAACCCTGTATTGCTGGATAGACACAAAGACTGGAGGACCCAAGGGGAAATGGTGGTGGAGGGAGGGGACAATTGGGGCTTGGAGCAGCTGGTATGGAGCAATGTCAATATGCTATGTCAGTGGCTGCACTGCTGGGTCCAGATTAAAGACCAGCCACATAAGACTGCTGGGGTTTGCCATTCTACCATCCTGTGATGCTGAGATTT